CACAAAATAATGTTCTTTTTAGCAGCATCATATGACCCTTTTAAAGACATTATAATAAAAAAAATGTAATCTAAAATATTATTATTATTTAAATTCAATAAAATGTAAGTATATGAGTTAAAATGTATTTAAAGTTAAAATGCATTAAGTTAAATTTAATTTTACATATAAAATTAAATTTGAAAATATAAAATGTAAAAGGTAATATAAAAATAATAAAATGTACTAGAAAGTTAAATTAAGATTATAAATAATGTAATGAGACATTTTAATAAATAATAATAAATGATAATATTAATAATAATTTCATTTAAATGCAATTATATAACTTAAAATGTATTTAAAGTACAGTAAAAATATATTTTAAGCTATATGTGTCAAATTAAATGATAAATAATTTAAATGATTAATAAATACATTTTATTAGTTTTTTTATTATGTCTATATAGGCTTTTTATTAAGTTTTACTTTTATTTATTTTCAGTTATTTCAGTACTTCAACACAAAATGGAAATAATATATATATATATATATATATATTTAATGTATTTATATATATGTACATGTATATGTATATGTGTGTGGCTGTACATACACATATGTAGTTGTTTTTTGGTGTTTGGCTTAGTGTTATGTTAGAATCATTATTATACTCATACCTTTTGTTCTTTTAATATTTTTGAATAGTTTTTAGCTTTATTTTTTTGTTTTCATTTAAATGTTTTAGTTTTGAAATGTTGTTGTATGCATTTGTCATTTTTATTTAATTTATTTTATTTTCTTAAATGTGTATATATATAGTATTTATAGAGTTTTAGCTTTTAGTTTTAATTACTTTTTCTTATTTGTAAGTCGCTTTGGATAAAAGCGTCCGCTAAATGACTAAAAGTAAAGTAAAGTAACGTAAATGGCAAAACATAAAAGGTTACATAAAAATATAAAAAGTCCTTGAAAGTTAACTTAAGATTATAAAGAAATAAATGCAATGAGATAATTTAATAAATAATATTTTTTTATTTACATGGTGAAAAAAAGTAATCTTCCATGAACCTTTAATTTAACACTCAGAGCTCAGAATATCCTGTTTGTCTCTTAATGATGACAACCCTGTCTCGACATTATATCGGTCATCTTGCTGTCTAAATGGTGGAATTGCCCATTTTAAAAATCCTTATCCGTCACTCACTAGTCCACAACCAGGCCCAAACCTCACCGACTCACTGTAAAACTCTGTACTCGAATGGCAAAAACAAAGAAAGGTACAACAAGAAAGAGATGAAGACATTTCAGTTTCGAAAAATGCACAACAAGTGCTTTCTAAGGGAAAATGCAGCTCTTTTGGTGTTCCCATCTCTTGTTCTTCTGCTTCTGGAGTTTCTTTGTCGTGGTGGGTGACGTAAACAAAGTTAGCAGACACCCCGACCCTTCATGTACTGTTTTGAGATTTGGCAGACACCGACTAAACTGTCATTTCCTTTACACACTGCTTTCATTTCCAACATGACATGACACCATTTCCACATGAATAGGTCTCCTCACATCTCACGAGGGGCGTCTGGCGTGTTAAAGGTGGAGGCATAGAGCAGGTAAATTATTGCAGGAAAGTGTTCAGATGGCTCTGAGAAATCAAATGCACTTCAAATTACCTCTGACAACACCCACTGTTCCTTTCAGCTTAATCTCTCGCCTTTCATCTTCCAATTTCTACCCTTGGAGCTCCTTGTAACTTCAGCCCAGGGAGCCAGATGCTACGAGAGCTAGGGAGGGGAAGGAAAGAGAGAACAAAGCAGATGAATAACACAGTGGTCTGCGATTGTTAAAAATCAAATCGTTCTCGTTATGGTCCAAATGGTTAGGAAACAGAGATGCACAATATCACTATCATTATCTTTGCCCAGTGCTGTCTTTTCCCCATGGACTGCCGTTCTTATTGGGAAGGTGGCTGGTGGTTCAATTAGCCTGACTGAGACGTTTTTGAGGGAATAATGCAATGCACCGACAGGAGTGTGCCATGCAAGCCATAAGGAGCAGAGCATTCTATAGTTGCACGCTTATGTATTCATTCCTTGTTCATGCTTTAGAGCTACACTGTGCACTATCTGGACAACCCAGATGCCGTCCCCCGGGACTACAGCCAGGATAGTGAGTAAACACATATTCGCCTATTGTTCATGATTTCCAGGCATTTCAGTAAAACCTCCAGCACTGCATTTCCACTGGCCGTTCTTCCTCCCTGTTCATTAATTTGAAAGCAGACTGTTTAGATTGGGCACCATTTAATCACATATAGGAGCCATGGCCTGGAGGCAAACACAAATACTTCAACATAAGCAGGTCTGGACACTTTAATTGAGAATGCCTTTAATATTACTGAACTTGAATTGAGCTATTCAAGATAAACAACTGGAGGTAATTTAAAGGCAAATCTGTCATTTCTGTACCACCAGCATCAGCAAACAGAATTGATGATTGATCAGCTAAACAGATAGACAAAGCCCAAAATCACAGAACTGGGTGAGTAAATGTTGCTGTGTCAACCTGGTCAGGATGTTCAAATAAAAATAATTCAAACTAAAACAATTTAAATTAAATATTAATAAAATTAAAACAATGGAAAAACCCTTAAGATAACCTGTTGAAAGAAAAGGACACATCTTAAGCATGCAGAATAACTTAAGTGGACTTTGAATGATTAATTGCCACTAGATAATTATAAACATATATCCAGTATAAATATGTGACCCTGGACCACAAAACCAGTCTTAAGTCGCTTGGGTATATTTTTAGCAATAGCCAAAAAAAACATTGTATGGGTCAAAATTATCGATTTTACTTTTATGCCAAAAATCATTAGGATATTAAGTAAAGTTCATGTTACTTGAAGATATTTTATAAATTTCCTACCGTAAATATATCAAAACTTTTTGATTAGTAATATGCATTGCTAAGACCTTCATTTGGACAACTTTAAAGGCGTTTTTCTCAGTATTTTGATTTTTTTGCACCCTCAGATTCCAGATTTCAAATAGTTGTATCTCGGCCAAATATTGTCCTGTCCTAACAAACCATACATCAATGGAAATCATATGATGTATAAATCTCAATTTCGAAAAATGTACCCTTATGACTGATTTTGTGGTCCAGGGTAACATAAGAGTCCGAAAATTTCGTCTGAAATTTTCGCACGTTAAAAAATAAATACGACCTCACGTTATGTCAAACACGTTTACACACTGCCTCCGAAACATTCGTCCGTCATAAAAAAAATTCGGATCGGGTTCGATTTTTTCCGTTTTTCGCATCCGTAGCAAGCATTTTGAGAGGTGTGCGAACAAGCGAACGCCAAAACCCAGAATGGCGATTCTCAAGTTCATCCACTTCGTCTCGCAGCACAAAGCACTGTATATAGAAATTTTTTTCACAACGGATTAATTATTACGCATCGAACTCAGTGTGCAAGATTTCGGTGCATGACGAATTTTTACGAAAAAATGCATACAAAAATTTCGGTCTCAGTGTGCAGAGACTTTAACACCAAACCAACCAAAAAACTATTTATATCTAACATATATCTTATATATGTAATTTCCCCAGTTTTAACAATATTTTACAACAGTCTTGTAAAACTTAAAAAAAAAAAATTATAACAGTCACTTAAGGTAAATTTCTAGAATAAATAAACACTGTTGAATATAATCTTCAGAAAATCTCAAAATGTAAATTTTTCATACTGTACATATTTTATGCTGTGATGTTCAAACTACAGGTGTCTAAATATATTTGTAGCATTTAAAATGAGCTTTAATTTATTAAACTTTAATACCAGGAGTCCGAAAATTTCGTCTGAAATTTTCGCACGTTAAAAAATATATACGACCTCACGTTATGTCAAACACGTTTACAAACTGCCTCCGAAACATTCGTCCGTCATAAAAAAAATTCGGATCGGGTTCGATTTTTTCCGTTTTTCGCATCCGTAGCAAGCATTTTGAGAGGTGTGCGAACAAGCGAACGCCAAAACCCAGAATGGCGATTCTCAAGTTCATCCACTTGAGCACTGTATATAGATCCTTGCACACTGAGTTCACAGAAATTGGTATTTTTCACAACGCATTAATTATTACGCATCGAACTCAGTGTGCAAGATTTCGGTGCGTGACGAATTTTTACGAAAAAATGCATACGAAAATTTCGGTCTCAGTGTGCAGAGACCTTAACACCAAACCAACCAAAAAACTATTTATATCTAACATATATCTTATATATGTAATTTCCCCAGTTTTAACAATATTTTACAACAGTCTTGTAAAACTTAAAAAAAAGAAAATTATAACAGTCACTTAAGGTAAATTTCTAGAATAAATAAATACTGTTGAATATAATCTTCAGAAAATCTCAAAATGTAAATTTTTCATACTGTACATATTTTATGCTGTGATGTTCAAACTACAGGTGTCTAAATATATTTGTAGCATTTAAAATGAGCTTTAATTTATTAAACTTTAATACCATTTTGTATAAATATCAGGAGTTAATAGTTAATCTGCCATTTCAAAAAAATCTCCTTTTTGCAGTTTTCTTTGCTAAAAATTGTTGTCAGTCTGTAAGTTCTAGCAATTCTTGTTTCTAAGAGATTTGGTTCTGTAAGATTTGGTACTCATATGACCTCACAGGAATATTAAAAAAAAACTGAAAGATTTGTGTGTTTCCCATTATTTAGTGATTTGATAGTAACTGCATTATCAAAAGATGTGCATGTGCATCAAAACGAGCTAATCTAAAGATCTAAAGATCTTATAAACCACTGTTCAAAAGTTTGATGTCAGTTTCAATTAATTTATTTAGCAAGGATGCATTAAATTGATCAAAAGTGAGAGTAAAGACATTTATTTCAAATATAGCCTGTTCTTTTGAACGTTCTATCAATGAATTCAACACTGATACTGAAACTGAATTTCAACACTGATACTGATTAAGAAATATTTATTTGAGCACCAAATCAGCTTATTAGAATGATTTCTGAAGGATCATGTGACACTGAAGACTGGATTAATGATGCTGAAAATTCAGCTTTACATCACGGTAATAAATTACAATATATTCAAATAGAAAACAGTTGATTTAAATTCCAATTAGGGATGCACCGATATGAAAATTTTGGCCGATACTGATAACCGATTATTCTTTATTTTTGAAAGCCGATAACCGATATGTTGGCCGATAAATCTATATCCAAATTGTTATATACTTTTTGAGAGCCTGATTACAAAAAAGGTCTCATCATTAAAAGCCACATCCCAAACACTTCAACATAAGCAGCCTAGTTTGAACGGTGTACTGGTGGCCGATATATCGTGCATCCCTAATTCCAATAATTCCATAATTTTACTGCTGTTACTGTATTTTGAATCAAATAAATGCAGCCTTGGTGAACATAACAGACTTCTTTCAAAAACACTTTTAAAAAACAACCTTACTGACCTCGAAACTTTGATCAGTAGTATAAATCACATTAACATCTAATATTATGCAAGTTAGTAAAAAGTATATTATATTTAACAAACAAGGGCAGAATAGCAATAGTACACCCAAAATGTATATATATATATATATATATATATTACTTACTCGCCTTCACAACCAGTAGCCTATCACTTTTCTTCCATGAAAGGAGCAGAATGTTTAGCAGAATGTTCAAGCTGCTTTTTCCATTAAAGTGAAAGAGGATGGTTACAGACATGCTCTAAAATGTTGAAAAAACAACCAGAAAAGTAGTCCATGTGATTTGTGCGCTACATTACAAGTATTCTGACTTCATACAATAGCTTTACAAAGACCTGAAGACCTAAAATATAGTCACAGAGTCCATTCAAGGCGTTTTTTTGAAAAAACATGAACACTATGCAAAATATCTCCTTTTGTGTTTCACAGAAGAAGGAAAGTCAGACTAGTTTGGAACGACATGAGGGTGAAAAAATGATGACAGAAATGTAAAATTTTGGCTGAACTATCCTTATCCAGCCTTCATTGTCAGACTACGTTAACACCCTGAATGCCATCATATTCCTAACAGACACTTCTATGCATGTAAAGTCTTTGGTTGACTGTCAGTTTTGCTTGATTGCCAGAGCTGAACCACGCGCTCTGACGGCAGAACCGTTTCTAAATCCTGGGGGAAATGTCACAACGAACAACTCAGCCCCGACAATTAAACATATCATACGTACACCATAATTACCGGAGGCAGACTGATTTGCTAAGCTCCTCAAATGAATTTGCCAGATTATTCACAAATAAACTACACTGCACTATCGGTATCAGTAAGCAGTATCACACAAGCTTAATTAAAGCTAATGCATTTTAATAACACCAGATATTTAGATTACACCTCCCATAAGCCTCAGCTAATTAGAAAACTGATGTACAGTTGACAAACATACAATTATTGAAGCGGTTATACACTAACAGAGAACAGAACAGCTTTGGTTTTTTATTTTACTTTGCTTTTTGGCTTCAAAAAGTGTGATATCCATGTTTAAAAACCCCATTCGCCAGCTTGCAAACAGCTTGAAACATTTCAACAGTCCTTTCCCAAATCAAATGCTCTCTATCAGATCAAGTGTTGCATCCTCATTAAAAGCACTTGAGAGAGGAAGAGGGTTCTTGCCATTCTAGTGTCCCACATAATTGTTCCTGATGAGCAATAATACAAAGGAAAACACAACAGCCTGATTTGCATATCTGCGTTTATAAACAA